TAGGGAAAGTTTCAGATTGTTAGTTCCCAACCCAAGGCGCTCAGCCTCTCTTTTTAAGAGACACAACATGAGTACAAAAAATATATAAAATAATTTAAAAATATTTGATTTTTTAAATTTTATTTTAAAATGTGTTAAAGTCTAATTAAAATAATGAATTAAGTTTATGATGCTATGCTCCCCAGTTTCAAGCAGGGGGCTGGACCCAGGGCTGGGGGTGGCGGGGGAGCAAATAAGAGACTGGAGATAGTGGTGGTGGTATGTGCACCACCCCTACCACGAGGGTAGTGTACCAAACTGTGCATGAGGGTTGGGCAGGTATTGGCTTGGTCCTCCATTTTTTTCTTTCTGTATAAGGACTACATTTCCCATATATTCTGAAGAAGTGACTACTGCTATACTTATGCATAAAAGCATCAGCATTCACAAAGCATACAATCACACAAACACAAGCAAGGAAAAATTGTAAAAACACAAACAACAGGATCAACAAGCATGCACACAAAAATAGAAAAAACACAACCACAAAAATGCAAAAAACACAAACACAATAACACAAAGACAAAAGCAAATATCAAGATTCAAGGAGAAAGACTGTCAGTGTCAAGGTGCTGGCAAAAACACAAACCATACAAAAACAAAACTGCAAACAAACACAGAAGAATAAGTCTTTGTTGCTCCAGTTAAAATATTCTGACTAGTCAATGCTAGTTGTGACTAACCAAAAGCTATTAAGTTGCGCAAATGTGAATGCAGAACGAAGTGGACTGCTCAGTGTCTGAGTCTGGTAGCAGTAATCATTAGAAATAATTGGACAGTGTGATGAGTGGCCACCCAGCTCCCCCACCGCCCGGTCCCCAGTCTGCCTATGAAAGAAAAATGCCAATTCAGGAACTGTATGAATTTCTACATTGTACTTCAACATTAAATGGTGCTCCAGTTACATCTCTCTCTCTTAAACCCCCCCCCGGCCGCCCCACCTTGCATTCCTGGCTCTGCCCTGCAGGGGTGCCTGCCGCAAACTATGGGGTACCGCTGCCCAAATGGTATTGGGGTCCCCTGTCTGTTAACTGTCCTGCAGCAGGGGGGGTGGGCTGGGTGGTACTGTCAATGCTTGCATGTCTACAAATGTAACTTGTTCATGGTTTTACTAATGAGAAAAAACCAAAAAGGAGACAAAAAATTTGAAGGATTTTTATGTAAAAGACAATGAATGATCTGCCTCCTGTCTTTTGTATCCTCTCATGAAACAGCAGGGATGACTGACCAAGCTGAGCAGCAGCATGGCAGATTGGGTCGGGGGTTGGGGTGGGGGTGGTGTAGAGGTGGATTAAGATTCCTTGGGTCCCGGGGAGCCCCATGCCCAGGACAGCTGCCCCAACCTGGCAGGGACCCCGAACACTGCCCAGCATCCATGCAGCATGTGTGGGCACAGGGGACCTGCCTGATGGTGCTAGGAAAGCGGGATGAGTTGCTCCCCCTGCCCGGCAGGGAAAGGGTGTGGTGGAGGTGATGCAAAAAAGAAAAACCAAGCATAGGCTCATGATAGTCTGAGAAGTTGCTAGTTGCCTTCTTTCTAATGTTAAGGCTGTCCCCTGGCAAAGTAGTTCCAATTTTTCTTGTTGGGTTTAGGATGGGGCACTCTGTGTGCGGGTCTACCAAAAGGTGCTGCCCCCTCAGGAGTCTATCTTGCCAGGATTCCTGTACATTGGTATCGGGGGGCAACACAACCATTGCACAAGCATTGGACCTCACATACCAATCCACCCTGCCACTGTCTTCCAGTAATCCCATCACTCCAGAAACGGCCCCAAGCAAGACTTCCCCATGCTGAGGTGGGCACAGTTGTGACCTCTCAGACCCACCCCCAAAGCACACAGACTGCCATGCATGCCAAGCTGCCTATGAAAAAAAACATGCAACATCCAGAAGGAACTATATGGATTTCAAATCTTTACTTCAACAATAAAATTAGGTGCATTTACGTGTCTTTTTTCTCAGAAAAAAAGGCATTATTTAAAAGTAAAAAATTAACTAAAACATTGTAAAAAACTGTTCAATTAGTAGAAAAAGAGAAGAAAATAGTCAGGTTTTAGCTTCCCTGAACCCCTATATCTATACGCTATTTAGCATTTATACATTATCTATTTATACACTATTTATACATTATCTATTTACTTGTTCACTATACATACTATTTAAACTTATACACTATTTAAAACTATCATTTACACACTATCTATTTACTCACCTATTGATACTTGGCTACCTATGTATATCTATTTCTATTCTACTTTCTTTTTATTTACTATGTTCTTCTATTTCTTGTACTGTTATAAAGGATTCATGCTTTCCTTTATTCATCCTTTTCAATTTCTGATCTTGAAAGTCTTCTGCAGGGGAAGAAAGAAGAAGAGGATGGGTTTTGGCTCAGAGTCCAAATACCATCCTCTTCACCTCTCCCCTATAAAGTTTACAAAGTTGGTGGGATATTTCTGATATTACCTATATATCACCCAGGATGTTGCATATTCTGGGGGGTAGGTCTGGCATGCAGTGTCCGCCTGCATTATTTGTTGTGTTTCTGGAATGGAAGTGGCAATTATAAGAAATAGGGAAGTTACCTCTGAAATATTAAAGTGTTAAGAACAGGTGCCACACTCCCTCAGTTGCACACTTACCATTGTGGTGCTGCTGCTGTTCTGCTCCATAATGTACAATCCAACCAAAAGTACTGTGTAAAAATCCAGACACAATCCCAAACCACCCTACACCAGCAGTTTTGATCCTCAATGAGGATAAGAATCAGCACATCAATGAAAAGCCTCCCTAGTGCAATTGACTGTATGTGAAAGGTGCACAAGTACTTCATGAACAGGTAACGGTATAAAAGGTTGAGAGAGATGGAATTAAACACCGTGTCACTCATGCACATGTGTAAGGCAGATGGAGAATGCTTAAAACAGAAACGTTTGGACATTTCCTAACTTTGGTGTGCTTAACTTAGAACTATGCGACATACCATAGCTTTTCTTTGTAATAGGAAGAAGGCAGGGCAAGGTGGCACCTTAGGGTGCCTGTAGATGTGACAAGAGCCTGCTCCGACATGCTGTAAATATGCTGTATCTGAGTCTGTCAGAGCAGACTCAATTAATTAAAGCTAATGACAGCTTTACTTTGCTGGCTCTCCATTCTCACAGGAAGATCCCCTGGGTGCAAGAGGTAGGCAGGTTAATGATCCTGTATGCATTTCCTCCAGGGGTGTTGCACTTACTGAAGTACAGCATGCCTCCCTCTGCTGCACCTGCCACACATTCACCGAGTGTGACTGTATCAGATGGGACTGAATGGCATGGTATCCTTGTATGATACTGTTATGTCCTGTAATGTTGTACAGAGAACTACAGCTCCTGGGCACTGTGCGGGCTGGGAGCGGTCTGAGGCTTTCGGGGGCGCGCGGTGGGCTGTGGCCGGGAGCCCGCAACGGTAGGGCGGGGACTCTGGCACGACGGACTAGAATTAGGCACGGACTCGTAGCAGTTAATTAAAGACTGTTTTACTTACACCGTAGATGGTCGCGGTGCAGGCAGGAAAAACTTTCTTGAGTTGCAGTTACAGACAAACACAAGTGGAGTTTGCTAGGCTCCACCGAAGACACATGCACGGAGTTTGCTAGGCTCCGCAAAACAAACACGACAGAGCTCTGGATACCCTTGAAAAACCATAGATATGTCTTAAGAATTTAACGAACGAGACGGGAAGAGGTTGGTGGTTGATCAGGCCGCCGAACTCCTCTGAGACACACACAAAGTTTCTATTACTCTGCTGCATGCTCAGAGTCCCCACGAGATGGTTGTGGAGTCATCTACAACTTGGGCGGAAACTGCTCAAACCTCTTATACGACTAGCAAGCCAATCGCTAGCAGCCACGTGGGAATAATTTAGAAACAGCCAATAGTGGGAAACAAATTTACATATGGGCGGCGGGAACTCCTTTGCACCGGGGTTTTCTCTCTGCAGCTGAGAATTGCACCGTGCAAAGAAAGCTCCATGTGGCGGGAAATAATTCTGCAGTGCCGAAGCGCGCACACAATCATTGGGTCATGACAGGCACCCCCAGGGGCCTGGGAGAAGGAACTGTAGCATGCACTACAGCTCCCAGAAGGCTACAGGACAAAGGAAGAAGCAGACACACACACACTGGCCTCATTGTGTCCTGCAGTAATTAGCATTTATACAGAAAGAAAGAAATGGAGAAGCAACCCAATACATTGCCAATTCACACTGTGGTGTATTACCCGCTGGTCGTTGTCATGCTCAAACCACCACCACCACCACTCAACCATGCCATCTCAACATGGCATGGTTGAGGAGGTAGTAGATTTTAAACTTGGAGCTGAATACAAGCTGGTTTGTGCTGCAGAGCAGTTATATTAGTCCATAAGGTCTGCTAGACTCCCATTGTAAGAGACAAGGTGGGGCTTCTGATCAGTGCAGAGCTGGCCACTTGGAGTCTGACCAGCAGCCAGAGCTGGGCTCTGGCTAGCCAGGCTCTGGTTTAAGGCAGCACTTGTTGCTACCATGTGCACCACGCTGCTTTTTTTGGCACCAAGATTTCCTTTTGTAAAAAAACCCCACCATGCTGCAAATTAATAGCATGTTGCATGGGTGCACATGCACTGTGTGTGGCTTGTGGCACCTCAAACAGCTAAAGGCACTGGAAAGCACACTTGCACGCTTATGGGAATGCACCTATATGTTGCAAATCTTTTTACTGCCAACCAAACTTTTTAGTATGGTTGGTATTAGAGCCATAAATTTGAAACTAGCCCTTGTCCAGATCCTGGCAGAAAGATTTTATTTGAAGTTTGTAACACATTTTTATAAAAATATGTGAGAGTAAAAAAAAAAAATGCAGTTGGTAAAAAAAAAAAAAAATTGTCTTGGGTTGCCAACTTTGGGCCCCCAGGTGTATGTAAACTTACTCACTCCCTAAGAAATAAGGGGAGTAACCTTCATTTTTATGTCACACTTATTTAACAGTACTTGCTTCTCATTTTATAACAATGAATTGAGACAGATAGAGACGGACAGAGACTTTTAGCATCCATGGCCTGCTGGCTGTCCAAGAGCCATTTGCATCACAGCTGTTGTCAGCACAGCTTGTACTGATGTAATGAGAGAGACTTGGCAAAGCCCATTGCCTTTGGATGCCAAGGATCCTAGTCTGAGACAGGGACCATGACACAGGCACATGTTGCAAGGCTAATTCATGGTACTGATTGGTTCTGTCTTGCATATGTCAGTGTCTAGTGGTCAGTTTATGGAAAACAGCTCCAGAAAGCAGAATCCGACAATTTCTCCTCACAGACCATAATGTGGTGTCATCTTGGTTTATATTGCCTTTCTTACTGGAGTGCTGTCTGGAGGACCAGTTGCCAGAGTTTGGGATCTGTGACAAAACCTGTGTGAAGGGAAAACAACAGAATATTAGACGTTCCATCTTCTGCCTTAGGTTAGGCAGGTGAGCTCTCTGCTGGGGACCAGGGGGACACCGGCTTTTCAGAACTTCTCTGTTCTGCAAATAACAAGTCCAGAGGTGTAACTAGCAATTGTGGGACCCACAGAGTGCAGAAAGGCAATGTCAAGCACTGCCCACTTTTCCTGGGCTACCCTTCTGGCATCTGCTTTAAATAGGTGCCACGGGCTGGTGCCCTGTTCACTCTGCCCTAGTAACACTATGGAGAAAACCCTTCAGTTGTGTTGCTGTCCCAAGGACAACTAAAGGTCTTCTCTCAAATCATCCATTACCATCTGCTTTGAACCGTTGACTGCATTTCTGGTCTCATGATCCTGCATTTGTGGAGCCCCTGCTCACAGCTGAGGGAGTGCCTAGCACCAGGAGAGAGCAGAACAGTGGAATTTGTCCTGGGCCACCAGGTCAGCTGCTCTAGTGGGTAGAGCTGGGCGTGGAGTGGGGGTTAAAAGGTCAGGGTCAGAGGCCATGAGTCAGGACCCAAAATGTCAAACCAGGGTTAGGGACTAGACATACTGGGGTCAGGAGTCAGGAAGCAGACCTGCAGGGAGAATCTAGAAGCTGAAATCTAGGTGCAAGCTGAAGGGAGGTTCATGAACCAAGGAAGTGAGAGATGTTGCTGGGGCAGAAGCTGTTCAGAGACTGAAGGCCAGTGTGTTCTGCAGCAAGGCTGGGGTGTTGGAGGAGTTCCTCAAATGCAGCTCCAGAACAAGTCTGCAGGAAGGGGCTGGGGGTCAGCTAGCCTTGAATAATAGTATCTGGGTCAGTGCCCTTAACAAGGGCTGCAGGGTAGGAGCCAGCCTGAGCCTTACAGAGCTGACCCAGGCTGTAGGACAGGAGCCATACAGAGTTAAGGCTCACTGAAAGGGTAAGAACAAATCCCCTTGTGAGGGAAGAGGAGAAGGTCATGAAGTGAGGCACCAGGAGCCCAGACAAAGGGGTAAGAGGAGATGGATGAGGTTCTCTCCTGGTGCAGTTTCCTAGGTCAAAATATGGTACTTTTTGCAGTCCTATCCTGGAACTGCCTCCCTCAGGGTCAGTTTGTGAAGGCCCGCATGGTCAGAAGTGCAGCTCTATAGGGGGAGGTTCCTCACACAACGCAACACTGACGGTTCTCTTTACTGCCCTTCTACCAGGTAGCCCCGTTAAGCCCTCAGCAATTACAAGTTGCCCATGGGGCAGAGAAGCAGATCCCCTGCCTAGTGCCCCAAAGGAGATGAATGACTGACAGATACTGTCATATGTAGATGACAGCTTTACTTTGCTGGCTTTCCATCCTCACAGGAAGATCCCCTGGGTGCAAGAGGTAGGCAGGTTAATGATCCTGTATGCATTTCCCCCTGGGGTGTTGCACTTACTGAAGTACAGCATGCCTCCCTTTGCTGCACCTGCCACATGTTCAGTGAGTATGACTGTATCCGATGGGGCTGAATGGCATTGTATACTTGTATGATACTGTCATGTCCTGTAATGTTGTACAGAGAACTACAGCTCCTGGGCACCCCCAGGGCACTGGGAGAAGGAATTGTAGCATGCACTACAGCTCCCAGAAGGCTACAGAAGAAAGGACAGTCTACATGAGAGGCTACATTGCCATAGCGATGAGCTATGTTGCTGTAGCTTATTGCCACACAATGTAATGTGGGTGGGCATGAACCATTACTCCAATGCTACTGCACAGTAGCAATAAGCTACTGCACGGTAGCTTCTAAAAATAGCCATGCGGCATCGCGACTGCGCAGTAATGCTAGTTACTGCGTAGTCATTTAGTACTTGCTAAAGCAAGTATTAAATGACTGCACAGTAACAACTGCACCATCCACCATGCGTGTAATCGCACCCACTGTTTATTATCTGTCATATATATCCTAAGTGTATGTACACTAAAACATGTATCTACCTGTGCTTTGCCCAATCTCCTTAGCCCGTTGGCTGGTGACCCTGATCCTCAGCATCCCTATATGAATGTGGAAACCTCCCTTGATGGTTCTCTATGCCAGTTTCTGGGGTTGCAGGGTTTGTTACAATACCATTGGCATGATATCAGATCTAGATAAATTGATTTACTAATGCTATAGGATACATACCTGTGATTACAGGGCAGGCACAGGTGGATGAAAGCCAATATGAACAGCAAGCTCAGGAGACCAGGAAGAATCAAGACCCACCGCAGAAGACCCACTTTACCCATTTCTAAACAGAAAGAGTTGCTATTTCAGTTACATGTCCTTACTGATTATTTCTTGTGTTGCATCCATCTGAGGAGCACAGGCAGATTAAACCTTCATCTTAAAACATTCATAGGATCATGGAGAAACTGCAGCCTGCTTCTAAAACAACATCAGCATTGGCACAGTCGTCAGATCAAAGGTCCTGGATCCAAGCCTGTATCCTGTGACTGTGGCAAATCCTGGCTGCCTTAGTGGAAATGTATAAGGAACGAGGCATGCAAACAATGATCCCATCCTAGTCCTCCCACTCAGTCACCAACAGTGACAAATGTAAGGAACCCTCCCTCTTTTTCAGAATGGGAAACTAAGGCACATAGGTTTGGGGATTTTCCCAAGCTCACGCGTGGAGTTTGCAGCAGAGCCAGAAATACAGCTCAAATCTCCCTTTTCCCAAGCGGCTAGGCCACATGGGAACTGGTGAAAGCCTCCACAGCCAGTTAACAGTCCCCTACCTGGCCCTGTGCCAGGTGAGGCACTTCTGTGGTAAGAGCACAGGGAAAGGTCCCTGTGTCAGTCTGGAGTCTTATGGAGGATTTGTGTAGCTTTGCCAGATTTCCCTATCCCAGTAGTTTACAGGGCTCACAGTTCCTGCTACAGCCTGGCCAGTATCACTGTAGCTTCCCTGGGCAGAAATGCATGAGGGTTCATTCATTATGAGTGCAGCCTGAACAGAATAAAAGTGGTACTCACCATTACCTGAGTGGCAGCCTATGGACAGGCTCTGGTTTCCCGTTGGGTGAGAGAAAGAGCAGGTTACTTGACTGTCCGCAGTGGCGTTAGCTATGCATGTGCTGAGAACAGTCACTGTCCCATTGGGGTGAGAGTCATCCTTAGTGCTGTGACAGACTTCTGGGACCCACGAGATTTGTGCAGCTGGTTTCCCTGCAGCTGCTTTGCACACCACATTGCCACTTCCGTCACAATTCACGGTGACCTCGGGAGGGACTGCAAGGCAGGAGAAAGGGGAAAGATTTGGTTTGATGTGCTTAACATGGTGCCCTCCTCATTTGTACCCAGAGAAGCCTAGCACAGCGAGGGCAATGGGATGAAGGGAGTGTGGCAATGAAGACTCTTTACATGATGTGCCCTCTGGTATCATATTGGAACTAAAAAATGAAAGCACTTCCAGTTGGTGACAGGAGTCATGCAAAAGGTAGCCTTGATGTCCCTCCCTGTGGGACAATCCTGGACTTTCCAGTCTCTTTTATGATCTTCTCTACCTTTACTTTCATCTGCCATGCCTTTGCTTGTCACCAACCATAGAAAAAAGGTCTTGATGAAACTTGGCGTCTGGGGAGGTTGCGTTGCTGTCTTAAGGAGGAGTCTAATGGTACAGTCCTCAGACCAATCTCCTCTCTCTCCTTGACCCTAAGTGTGACCTCCAGCCTCCTCTGCAGCTGCACCCACCATTCCTCACACGTCCTATTCAGTCTCTTCTCACTACATCTCCTGCCTCTCCTAGTTTCTGTTACTTGGGTCCCTGACCCTGGCTCTGGCACTGGGCCCTACAACCTCTGCCTGGCCCTCTCCAGGTTAAATATTTCAGAGTGCTCTTCTGCACTCTGCTACATGGCATCCAAACTACCCCTTTCAGCCGCTCCTCCAGTTTTTATCAGTACAATTTGAACAGAAATACAACCTCCCCATGGTGAACAGAACCAGGCATTCACCAAAATCTCATCCTGTCAGGTACACTCACCAATAAGGGGAGGCTCCCTTACCCCTTCTAGTATCTTTTCCTCCCCTTGTAGGTACGGGTTCCCTGCTCTCCTCCAGAGTTTTCCTCTCCCAAATACTCAGGGCCAGAGGGACTTTTCCTGCTGGGGAGGTAAACCTATATAGTGGCCCACCCCACCCCTACTGCTCAGCTGATGTCTGCCTCAGCCACAGTACAGGGATTTCCCATTATCCATTCTAGAGCCTCTGCAAGAGGCAAGTCTCCAGTCCTAGGTCAGCCTGCAGCCTTCAGCTCACTCCTGGCCTGAGGCACAGTCTTGGTAAAGCCTATTGCTAGGCAGCTGGTTCCCCCTGGAAGCTGGTAAACCTCCTGCTCTAGCTGCTACCCTCCCAGGACTGCTTACTGCTGTGGGTACCAATCTTTCCTGCCTTTCTGGCCTAGAGATCAGCAACTTCTTCACTCCTGGTTTTAGGAAACTGAGCTTCCTGCTCCATGCAGCCTTGCCCCTCCACACCACAAAAGTCCTGTTCTTACAGTGGCCTTGAGGATTTATCTTACCCTCCAAACCTTCCTCAGTAGCAAGGCTGGGTACCATATTGTACATTGACACCAGGATTAGAGACAGTTCAGGGATAAAGTGCAAATCAGGAAACCAGCTGACCGGAGGAAGGCTGGGAGCCCGTCAGTAAAGGTGCTTTCCTGTGAGCTTTGCCTTAAATTGTTTTGCCTGATCAAGTATTCAGCCTCCCCCCAGAAAGTGAATGCTTGGGACCAGATGTCAAGGCCTCTGACTTGTCAGGCCCAGCTGGGCCGAGCTCTTGAGCTTCCACACCTAGTCTTGCACCCAGCCTAATGCGACTGCCCCAGTTCCCTGTAACAGGACTGGCTGCTGAGTGCACCACTAGACCTTTCTAAGCATACCTGCAGCCTTGACAACAGCAGCCTCCATCTCTTTTGGCAACCCTCAGGTTCATTGCTGTCCCTGGTTGTCTTGACTCCTGACTCAGCCTTGCTTTTCCTGACCCTGATCTTGGATCTTCCCTGAAAATCTTCACGGGCTCTTTGATTCCCCTGGCTGCTGACTTGACTTCAGCTCTCCCTGACCCTGCTCTTTCATCTTTCCTTGAACTCTGAACCCAGCTCTCCGATTCCCCCGGCTTCTAACTTCCTCTTGCACGCTGAACTACATCCCTCAGATCCCTGCTTCACTGAACCAGACTCAGACCTGATGCCCCGGTAACCTGCACCCCCACCCGTCTGACCTCCTAGTTTCCCTTCAGGTCCTATGTGCAGGCCCAGCTGTCTATGTCCTGGCTGAACCCTCACACAAGAAGCGTATCCGTACATACAGCCTCCAGGCTTTACTCTGCCTCCTTTGGGGAAACAATTTGGTTTGCCAAATGTGTCTGCTTCTTCCTAGCCAACTCCACATTCCAAGCTATCTCACTGGATTATTCTGATCTCAAGTTGGGCGCTTGTATATGTGAGTGGGGTTTAGTCCTCAGGGTTTTATTCCATGCCCTCTAAATTGAAACAGTGGGTTTTTAAATGAAACCCACCATACCAATTTTTGTGGCAAGTTGTGCCAAGGAGCCTGATCCTTCTTTTTTTGTCAGAGCCAGAGCCTGCCTGTGGCTGGGGGCAAGCTGCCAATGAACTGAGCAGCCCCTGAGCTGTGGGGGGCTCCAGTCCTTCCCTCCATGACAGTGCCTCCTGGGGCTGCCCAGGTGGGCTGCTAGCAAGCCGGGTGCCGCCTCAGCTCAGAGGCAGCATGCAGCTTGATCCAACGCTTCCTCAAGCTGGGGGGGCTCTCGGCCCACTAGCAGCCCTCCTGGGTGAACTCACAGGGTGCCACTACCATGGAGGGAAGGACTAGAGCCCCCTGCAGCTCAGGAGACACTTGTCCCTCCAGCAGATTGATCTCTGCCCATGAGAGGGGTGGGCAGACTCTGACAACAAAAAAAAGGATCCAGTCCCTTGCTACTTCTGCCTTCAGCAGGCACTTGCAGCCAGCAGGACAGCTGGGGCCACCTGGAAGCTGCCTGTCTTACCCCTGAGGTAGTGCAAGAAGGTGGTAGGAGGGCAGCTGGGTGTGCTGGCAGCTGGAGAAGGTGGTGGGTTTGTCGCAGTGGGCACTGGAAGCTCCAGCAGACTGCTAGCTGGCCAGGTGCTGCCCCAGCTCAGAGGCGCTTGATCCAAATATGTCACCGAGCCTGCCCAGACTTCCAGCACCCCGTGCACCATCCCCACTGCTTTCTCCAGCTGCCAGCACACCCAGTCACTCTCCTGCCACCTCCCTGCAGTGCCCCAGGGGTAAGCTGGGTATGCTGGCAGCCGGAGAAGGCAGTGGGGATGGTGCACAGGGTACTGGAAACCTGGGTGGGATCAGGGAAACATTGCATCAGGCACCTCCAAGCTGGGGCAGCGCCCGGCCAGTTAGCAGCCCACCCAGGCAGCCCTGCGCCCCATGCACATCTCTGCTGCCTTCCCTGACTGTCAGCACACTCAGCTGCCCTTCTGCCATGTTTCCGTGCTGCTCCAGGGGCAATCCAGCCCATTCCTGGGCAGCCCCAGGAGTCACAGGTCTAAGAGCCCTCATCAGTGATCTTGACCCCAGGTCTCAAGGGGGAAATGGCTCATTTATTTCCACGTTTACTTTGAAATTCAGAGGCATACGAAGAGCATCTGCACCCTGGGCACTGGTAGCATGTGGGGCAGCAGAGGCAGTGGCACAACTAGCTAGCAGCTGTGGTGGTGCTTATCTTTATTTTCCCCGCCAGAGTGGGCAACCAAGGGCTACTGCCCCATTCGGCTCTACCCCGCACTCCCCAAGTTACACTACTGCTGCAGTTTTCTGCAGGAATGAAAGTGTTTAATTGACTGTCCAGGTGGAATTGGCTCCTTCTTGAAAATAAGAAAAAACGCAGCTGTGAGAAGAACTACCCCATCAGCCCAAACTACATCTTTGGCCTTGGATGGATTTTCCACTTCCTTGTCTCTCCTTTGTGTACCCATCAGTCTCAGTGCTAGCTGCGGAGTCGCATCTGCTGTGAACAGAAGGCTTCAGTTACTAGAACTGTTGCTCTGGCACCTTTCCTTAGCCTTGGTTTAACCTAATGAAAATTACTTTTGGGGACACATGGCTGGGTAAGGGGATAATTGTGTAGAGGTCCCCTCTAACAGAGCGGGGTCTTTATACCCAATAGAAAACTTGCTCAAGCCTGCCTGTTCCTTCCAGCCCAAGAGTGAGGCTCCACTGCTGCAAGGGGTAGCAGAAAGGAAAGGAGGCTGAAGAGAGGGAAAGGAGAAGGTGGGGGCAGAGATAGAGGGCATTAATCGCAGGAATCAGAGATCAAAATGTGACTGGGGTTATCCCTGGCTGATCTTTCTGTGGGGCACACTCCAAGCCTGCATTCTCATCCTCATATGGGGAGAGAAGCTCGGTGTGTCAGGCCTGGGTCTGATCATTTAGCCCACTGAAGAACAGTACAAGGTGTTTCCTACCTAACACAGTCAGATGGTAGCATCGGTGGAAGTTCCCATCACTGCTTAGGATTTCACAGATGTAAAAGCCCTCGTCAGTGAGTTCCACTGATGAAAGCTGAAGGGTAAAATTCTGCTCTGGTTCAGGCTTCCAGTCCAGTCTCTCACTGCAGGTTGTTCTGTTCCCTGTGCGTGTATCTTCCCTGTAGGCCAGGCTGCAGTGAGCTCCCTTCCGTGGTCGTATCTTCCAAGTTACTATTATCAAATTCTCCCATGAAGAGCTAGGACAGGTCAGCAGAAGCTTGCTACCAGTAGACCCACTGATGTTTTCTGGAGAAGGCACAGGGAGAGGAAGATACTTGAGAAGTCATCTAGAAAGTCATTCCAAGCCTTAGAACAATGATCTGTAATGCACTGCACTATTTTATTCAGACCTTATTTCTTCAGAGCCATTCCTTATATTCATAGCTTCCATCACAGACAGCTAATTTAATGTGTGTCTGTGCCCCCAGTCTGTAGGATTATCCCCTGCTCCGTACAATCTTATCCCTACTGCAGCTACAGTTCCACGTTTCAGAAGGTGAGCCCTGGTGGGGTGGAGGCTGGCTGACCCTCAGGGCACAGCTGTGCTGGAGGAGCTCCTGGCATAACTTTTTATTTTCTTCTGGCTTTGGCAGCAATTGTGATGAAAAATGGTGCTGAGGAGAGCACAGCCTTAGCCATGTGCTGTTCTAGACTGCAGCCATTTCTGGCCTTTTGCTGCTGCTGTGCCATCCACAGCAGGAGTTTAGGTTTAATAGCTGGAAGCTCAGCAGTATCAGAGAAGGTTTGCATGAAGTACACACCCTGATCTATAGTTCATAAAATTACCAGCATTGATATGGCATTATATGGTTTATTTTTGTTGTACTTATGCTGGTATAAGCCTGAGTGTAGACTGAGTTCCTCTGGCAAAAGGAAGTCCCACATGAGTCCCACCTGTTTAATATATTTGCCCCATCCCAACTGCCCACGGTTTCAATTTCTGTTCCCTCTTCTCAAAAATAAATTAAAAAATTATAAAAAATAAACAAAAGAGAATGATTGAGTCTAATAAAGAACATAAGTACACTTTCTTAAAATCTATGTGGTGGTACCCTGACTAGGGATGCAGGGGTATCCGTGCAGAGTAGAGCACCTGGACTTCTTGAACAGAAATAAACCT